GTCGGGACTTCGGCGATTCCGGATTATCGATTTTTCCGGATTATAGATCATCAGTTTAAATCTCGTAAGATGGCATGCAGAAATTCTAAAATTAAAAATATGAAACCATAATTTATGAAATAAAGAACAATTATGATCTAAAGGGTATCAAAATTTACAAAAAAAAAAAAAAAAAAAAAAAAAAAAGCTTAATATTTATTTGTTTACTTTATTAAACATTTCTTTCAATGTAAGATGTTTAAGTTGCTTCGTTTTATGTGATAATACTTTCTCTTTAATTCTATAAACAAACATAATTTCTTGTTCAGTTATAAAGTTCCGCTGTTCAAGTCCTATAATTGCGGTGTCGAGAATACCGACTAATTTGTCAATCGAAATTGTTTCGTTTTCAATAACGTCTGCGTCACTTTCTTCACTATCGGAAGCGATATTTTCTGGATCTAGAAATATACTACAGATTTCGCTGTCCATTAATTGATTGATGATTGGGGCATTGTTGTCGCAATGAAAAACTTCTCTTATATCATCTTCATTTATTACCGTTTCTCCACATTTCTTTACAAAATCCAATAACTGAAAAATTTCACCTTTAGTTTGCGATGGCCGAAAACCTTCAAATTTGTGGCTATCATCTTCATCCTCCTCACCATGAAATATGGTAGATGGGCATAAATTATGCCAAGCATTTTTTAACGTACTTGGAGACACATCCTCCCACGATCTTGCGATGCTCCACACGGCAGATTTTATGCTAAAAAATTTCAAAAATTCTTGAATAGTCTTGCCACTGTTCAAGAAAATTTACACAGATTTTAAAAATGCTGCTTTATATTTGCATTTCAGCGTGTGCACTATTCCCATATCCATAGGCTGAATGATAGACATACAATTTGGAGGGAAGAATAACACGGATACATTATCTTTCACTAAAACTTTTAAGTGAAGTATGCGCTGAACAGTTATCAACAATCAGAACTATTTTTGAGTCATCAGGTAAACCAACCGAATTCAAACGTCGCCAAGCCTCGGGTATAAAATGATTTTGAAACCAATCATTGATCAACACTTGTGTCATCCATGCTCTTTTATTTGCGTGATATATAACAGGGAAAATCGTTACTCCTTTAAACGCTCGAGGTTGTGCATGTTTTCCAATTATGAAAAGTTTGCATGTGTGCGTTCCTGCAGCATTTGTGCATGCTAAAATTGTCTCGCTTTGGAATCTTTGACACCAGTTAGAGCCTTTTCTGTAGAGGTTGCCAAGGTATTTCGCGGTACATATTGCCAGAAAAGACCAGTTTCATCAGCATTGTAAATTTGTTCTGCAGATAATTGTTCACTAGTAATGAATTCAATGATTTCATCTGCAAATTGTTCAGCAGCTTCAGTATCAGCTGAAGATTTTTCACCAGAAATTTTTAATTGTCTTATACCATGGCGATTTTTAAATTTTGTTAACCAACCTGTCGAATATGTGCATTCTTCGTTTAAGTTCATTTTTTCATGAAATATTTTGGCTTGAGCCATTACCACTAGACCTGTCAATGGCATGCCCTCGCTGCCACGCTGTCTGACCCATTCAATCATCACTCTGTATTATCGTCACTTTTAGCATGACGAACCCTTTTTCTGTTATTCATTGCAAGTGGGGTGTCAGAATCCACAAAAAAATCAAAAAGTTCCTTTTTCTTTTTGCTAATGTCATATACAGTTGACTTTCCAATGTTATATTCCTTGCATAATTTTGAGACGGATATGCCTTTATCCATTTTTTGCAGCAATTTCACTTTTTGTTTGATGGACATCGAAACATACTTTCGTTTTGTAGATACTTTTTGAGCTCCAGCATCGGAAATTCTACTTGACATAATCAAAAGTTCAAGTTTACTTTTATAAAATTGTTCTTCAGTCTGCAAAAAAATAATAAGCATGATCCAATTCGAAAATTAAGGAACAACGCAATCATCAACATTAACTGAAATAGATAATTAGATAATTTTAGCTTACACCGTTCGGTATACATTAAACACGCAGGCGAAAACATATTCTGCGCTTGCACACACGCATATACTCAGTCGTCAAGGTCTTACGCGCAAGCGTAAAACGCCTGTGCGCATGTGCCAACGCGGCGCATGCGCAGAAAGTTTTCAGCTTTGAGGTCCGGATTATGGGTGTCCGAATTAACGACGTTTCACTGTATGGTGGAAAATAGAAATGAAATGGTGACAAAGACAGAAAATATTCAAACCAAATATAGAACAGAATTAGCTCAACAGAAAATGAGGCAAAATGAATTTATAGCTGATTACATGAATAAGAGCTGTAAATCCGTAAAGTAAAAGTATTCAAATGAGAGATGAAATAAAAGATACAGTTTTAATTTTATTTCATATTAGAAGGATTTAGGCATAATTTTGAATTTGATGGCAAAATTATTAGAAATAACAGAAAAAACCATATAGCTAGAATCAGACAAGCAATAAAAGAAACTGATGTAATAAAATAAACAGAAACAAAACAAAATAGAAGTAGGTTCTAAAACGAAAGAAAACTGGATAAAATCGAAATATCATTAAAGAAAAGGCTTTATTTGTGGAAAATTAGATCATTTTATATAAGAATGTTGCAACAATAATAATATAAAGTGCTTTATGTGTTAGTTTTATACTTTATACACTTTATGTGTTTATAGTTATGGAAAGTTCGGCCACAAACCAACTGAATGCAAAATGAAAGCCAAACAAGAACACAGAAAGCAGAGAAATATTATAAATAAAACTTATTGAATGTCGAACAAAGATGATGAAGGGAATGAAATAAAAGAACTAGGCAACAGAAAAATTAAATGGATTATAGATTGAGAAGCCACATCTCACGGCAACAACTAAAGAAATATTTGCTAGTTTTAAAGATGAAGAATGACAAATAATGACAGATGAAAAAGGAGGCATCATCAAATCTGTTAGTATAGGTGCAAAGTGCAAATGTGAATGCAAAGTGATAGAAATAAGAGTATTTTGAGAGTAGAAAATGTTTTGAAAATACCGAATTTAAGTGAAAAATCTACTGACAGTTTTAAAAATTGTAGATCATGATTTAAAGTAATTTTTAACAAAACTAAAGCAAATGACCAATAAACTTAAAAATATTCTATATACAGCTAGCTAACAGAAATGGAAATAAATTTGAAGCTGAAGAATATATAATTGAAGAAACTAAAATTCGTAATGGTAGGGATGTACTATGATATCACAGACTAGGTCGTCTAAATTATCAGACTCACAGAAGTGGGGAAAAAACCCTCACTGGTCCCTGCATTAGAAAATGAAAAAATTTTCCAAAAACAACTGTGAACCTTATACATTAGAAATAATGACATGGATATCTTATAAAAGTGTGACATTTAAGCAATCTGAATATATTTATGACATATATCGTTGGACGAATTGAGAAATCAAGCGGAAGCTATTTTTTAACAGTGGTAGATGATTACAGCAACTTCATATTTATGATAATAATTGAGAAAAACAGTGAAACTGCAGAATCTTTAATCAAGCTGATGACCCAAGAAGACAAACAGCAAAGAAATTAAAAAGAATTCCCAGTGATAATGGTAGTGAATTCTTAGCTAAAAGTATAATTAAAAAAAAAAGGGGGAATTAAACATGAACTTACAACCCCTTATGCTGCAAAAAATAATGGGAAAGCTAAACTTTTCAATCAGACTCTAAACTGAAACTGCCAGAGCTATGTTAATTGATGCAGAATTACCAATACAATTTTGGACTGAGAGTGTTAAAACAGCTGCACACATGCATAACAGGAGTCACAAAAAATGGCAATACTCAACAAAACAATAATGAGGAGGAAGTGAGCAGCTCCTGTTGGTCAAAAAAATTGGAGTCCCCTGGGCAAAGTCCAAGGAAAGAAGTGCCTTTGCCTGCAGGTCTTAGCTGAGCATAATGGAACATCCTTCATGCCTTGGGCAACCCTTCCAGGAGATTAGTGTTCCGACGTACTTCGCCCATTCCGCCCAGGTACATCCCCTTGCCGGCTAAGAGCACAGTTTGAGGTGACCAGTAGAACTTGAGAGGGGCATCTACAGTCTCATAATAAGCTAAAACACCTGAAAAATCTTTCAGTGCAACATAAATGTACTCTCATCAAGAGCTACTAGAGTGTACAAGTTATAGCAATCCAAGAAACGAAGTTAACTATGACTTCAAACTTGAAAATTAAAGGTTACAACATTTATCGACTTGACATAGCCTCCAGGAGAGGAGGGGGGTCTGACGTTTCTGATCAGAGGTATCAACTGCAAGAGCATTGATTTTTGTGACTCCTAGTTCTGACCTTGAAATTCAGGGCATAGTTGTCACATGGAGAGGCAAACTCTTTCATATCTACAATCTATACCACCCCCTTACCAATCTTGACTTCCTAAAAGACTTTTGACTTTCATTGGCTCTAAAAGACAACACACTCATTTTAGGTGACCTCAATGCCAAACATCCCTTCTGGGGCTGTTCCTCAAGCAATGGCAGAGGAGAAGAATTGCTGTATTTAATAGATGTTTATGATATTCAATGACGGTACCCCTACCCATGCTTTCTATAGTTATAATACCACAGAGGCATTAGACATTTCACTTGTCAGTTCAAACATCCATCAATTATGCAAATGGACTGTGATAGACTTTATTGGCAGTGACCACCTACCTATTTTATTTAATATAAGGGAAATTGTATAAAATGTAACATATTTTTGCAGTGAAAAAGCTTTTCTTATTTTAAATTCTTTAAAAAGGCTGCAACTGCAGCAAGTTTATAAAATATGCTTTAGTAATAGTCTCTAAATTTATAACATTTAAAAAATAAGAACAACTATCTCACAAACTGCACAAAAGCAGATAAGCAAAAAATTTTAACTGCAACACTTAAATTAAGCTGCTTTTAATTAAAATAGTGCTAAATATTCTTTAAATACAAAATATAACTTACTTAAAACGATAAAAACCAGGTATTAAATTCTTTAATTGCAAAGTAGGAGTTTCATTAAGTTGGACAGAGTATCCTATAGGCACTTCTAACACTTCCCATTGATATTTCACTATCTTATCATCATCTGTGCTAACTATAAAATTAATTACATACCATTCATATTATAAAAAAAGATTTAAAAAACATCCTAGTAAATTACAAAAAGCTACTAAATGCATTATAAATTTAAAACATAAGTAATAATGTGAAAAAAATAACCAAGAGTTATATATAAGTTACTTAATTAATTTTATTTAATTTTTTACAGCAGCATATATACTCGTAGGCAAAATTACAAGAATTTGCAGATTATGTAAAATTTCTGAAAAATGGACACATGTCAATGAAATTTGATATAAATGTACATTTATCACAGAAAAAAAGATGTGCCATTCAAAAGTCATGTATGCATGATTATCAGCAAAGTTCATTGTGCAAGGATGTCCAAAATCCACACTCTGCTATCGAAATGAATATGAGTCTAATTTGGGGTATGGTCCTCTCTCACAGACATATCGTGTAGGGTGACGGCATACTGGGTAGGAGGCAGTTGAGAAGCCCTGTGGCAATTCATCCCATTCCCACAGCAAGACAGTTTTCAACTCCGGGATAGTTCTTGGGAAGGGATGGCAAGATGAAACTGCATTCCCAAGTGTGTCTCAGATATGCTGTATAGAGTTGAAGTCACAAGATCCAGCTGTCAATCCATGCCCTGAATATCCTCACTCTCCATGTAATTGTTGACCAGTTAAGCCTTATGTGGACAAGCATTGTCATCAATTAGCAGGCATCCAGGACCATCTGTGCCCCTGAAAAGTTGAACATAGGCTCTAAGATCTCCTCTCTATACCTCATAGCATTCAGGAAGCCATTGTCAAACACATGCAAGAATGAGCAGCCATCCAACATAATGCCTGCTCAAAACATTGCACCTCTGCTGTTTTAATGATCTTTTTCCTTGATGAGAGAGGAATGATATTATATTCCCAGCTCTTCACAGATACAGGTATGTCAAGAATCAGTGTCCAGGGTGAATCTTGATTCATCTGTAAAAACCACACGGTACTCCGGTCCAAGGCACATGCTGTCTGTACCATGCTAAATGTGCTTTCTAGTGTGATGCAGTGGCCGGGATGCACACATCTGGTCTTCTGGCATACAGCTTTATCTCATGAAGCCTTCAAGCAACTGTACAATATGAAATTTGAGTTCAGGTAGCATCATACAACTCACATGAGAGTTGTGAAGCTGTGTCGCAACTGAAAATGCCAAATAACCATCATCATTTGTCACTTTGGATCTTGGCCAACCTTGTCCAAGTCTTCTCAATATGGATCCAGTGTTCTGAAACTATTTCCACAAATTGCAGATGACACTGAGCATTACACCGAGCTTTGTAGCCAGCTGTGCTTGTGATTGGCCTGCCTCCAATCTAACAACATTTCTCTCTCTCATTCTATCATACATATGTTTGTTGCTACTGAATACCTCCGATACCTTACAAGATTTACCCAAATCTTGCGAGAAACATGGCGAGTGTCATCAAGAAGTACCAGCATACAAATCCTCGGAAACTCCTCCATGCACATATCCTTTTCAAATCACAGCTCCGCGCACACGAACTTGTACAGTTACGTATTCGACTTTGAATATTTGCATAATTTTTTGATGGCATAGTCAGTATCTTTGGTTCAATAAGTTTTGTAAAAACAGATAACAAGTGTACATAAGAACAAAACATTCAAAAGCTGCAGTTTGTAACAGTACATTTCAAAACATATAAATGTCAAGAAGTAAGTTTTAAGGCACTGTCCGAGAGCAGAAACAATTTTTAAGAGAAATAAAGCATATAATCATCAAAATAAAAATATAATATGGTATATAACACGCAGGTACTTTAAACAATTTTCCGATTTTCAAGTAAGAGATTTATAAAAGCTGATTCTATGATAACAAGTTTATAATAACTATCTAATCAGGGTAGTTTCAGAAAAAAAAAAAAATTAAATTTGCAAGCAAAACGAACAGAGGTTCTGTTATATCCATTTACAAGTACCTAGAAGAACAATAATTTTAAATTAGAAACATATATTAAAAAATATACAAGTTTAAAACTAATGTAAAGGAAATAACCCAGCTTAATGAATTTGAAGCAGATTTAAAAAAAAAAAATGAAAAATGGTTGAAAGATACAAATTGATGTAAATAAATTGAGTTGAACAGCAGTGCTTGACAGTCTTATCATCTGCTGATGGACCAAAGTAATTAATTTGAAATAACTAACACAGTAACTTAACATTATATTTAAATGCAAATTGTTTCAGTAAATTTATTTGTAACATTAACAATATAAAGCATACTTTTAATTTTAATTGGCAATATCTCCCTAATTCATTTTAATTTGGGTATTCCTCCTTTTTGTTTTAAAAATAGTGATTGCTGATAATAAACTTCTATGGACTGCATCATTTCAAAACTAAGTCACCAACAGATGATTTTTACATAACACAGGTAATTTAAATAGTTCTGAACTGAAACTCAACTAGCCAATAATAATGTTAGAGCTTTACTAATCAGTCACAATGAGCCAATAATCGAAATTCATGCTGGGAATTATAAAGCTTTGACTATCTCTCACACTTTCTTTCAATACATCAGATTTCCCTGCTTTGCTTTGAGCTAATGCATCATAATTTTCCTCTCTATTTCATCCATTGTATTTATCTTGAGATGTAGATATGGTACAAAAATGTGATGATGACTGGGTGCACATTGCACTCACAATGTTGTGTGAATCACAATGTTTTTCTAAATAATGATTTGAGCCACAAAGAAAGAGCATTTGATAGTCACAAATACTATGAATGACAGCAACTACACAATTATGCATTTTACATGCCAGCACCACAAATGCTATGAATGACAGCAACTACACAATTATGCATTTTACATGCCAGCACCATTTACAAACTTCGACTATGATTAAAATTATTTGTGTTTTCTCTCGCATCCTAAATTATTACATTTATAAAAGAGCTGACAGGACAGTTTTGTCTTTAAAGTGCATGGGCACTTCAATGGCAGCTCAGCTACAAGATTTAAAAAAAGATGTGTTAATTTCAATTATAAGTCAAGTACTTTTTGCAATACCTGCATACCTTAAATCATTATTTATATATAATGGAAATATTAAAAAGAGAAAAAAGGAAACATAAATACATTCATCAAAATGATTTAATTTGTTAATTTGCTAAAAAATAATTTTACTATACTTTTCTAGTTCAGAAAATTTCATTTAAAAATTTTCTTTCAATTACATACAACATCAAATATATTGATTAAGTATTTTCATCAATAATAAAAATTAGGCTCAGCACTACATTTAAATGGCAAAGTTCATACTGAGTGTTTAACATAAAGATTGCCACAGCAATATTTTATGCTGTTTAAAATGAAAGCTTGCCTTAAAATTGGATAGCCCAATTTTATTCCTCAGTAAAATTATTTGAAACAGCTTCAAGCTTACATCAGCAACAAGATATATACAAGTAATGTCCCAGGTTTACTCTTCATTGGCAGAATACTTTAATTATCAAATACCACATACACTTTAATTATCTAGGATATAATAAGCCGCCCAACCAGTATAGTGGGTAGCATCACTGACTGCTGTGCTGAAGGGCCTGGGTTCGAATCCCGGAGAAGGCATGGATGTTTGTAAATGTATCATATCGGTGCGGCATTGCAGCACTCTAAATATCTGACGAGCCGAAAGTACTGTCGTATGGTTTGGTGGAAGGGGAGAGGGGTGGGAGATCATTGGACCCGTCCCCCCACGGTGCACTCCATCAAAATTGGGCGTGGAACCGAGCTAAATTGCACTGTCACCTGAATGATCAAGGCTGTTTACAAAAGCAGGCGTATTCTAGCACACCTTGCCATGAGTAATTTTGTGGGCTTGAGCTGACTGCGTCAGACAAATCAGCACAACCAATAACAGATTTAATAATCTATTATCAATCTAATAATCTAAATATCATTCTAGATTTTATTTGCCTCAAAATTTGGTCTGGAGAAATGTTCATCTACTACTATTAAAGATGTTAGGAAATTGGAGTTTCTCCTTTGTAAGTGCACCGAGCTGAAAAAGTTGAATTATATAATTCCACGGTTGAATTTAAGGAATATGAAGAATGTGATCCTTCCAATGTAGGTAAGATATTTCTCCCAATACAGTCAAAAGTCGTTAATTTGGGCACCCATAATCCGGACATCAAAGCTACGAACTTTCTGCGCATGCATCACATAAGACCTTTACGGTTTTGCATATGCGTGTGCATTTAATGTATAACGGACGGTATAAGCTAAAATTATCTAATTCAGTTAATGTTGCAGATTACGTAGTTCCTTAATCTTCGAATTGGATCCGGCTTATTATTTTTTGCAGACTGTTAGAGCATTTTTATAAAAGTAAGCTTGAACTTTCGATTATGTCAAATACAATTTCCGATGCTGGAGCTCCCAAAGGATCTACAAAGGGAAAGTATATTTCGATGTCCATCAAACAAAAAGTGGAATTGCTGCAAAAAATGGATAAAGGCATATCCTTTGTTTATCTAACCATTCTGAAATCTGTTTATCAATTTTATACTGCTCTGCGGCGGAGGGGGGGGGGAAAGCTGCGGCGCGAAATAAATTGGAAGTTGATCTGTCAGCACTATCCTTATCTTCAGGGCAGATGTTTTTATTTTATTTGGCTTATAATTCCTTACTAAATGTAGTATTTCATCTCGATGTACTCCGTCTTTGATATGATTTAAATCAAATTCTCGTCATTATAATCCTTCCGATAATGAAGAAAGACACAGGTTATTGAAAACGAAAAATTCGATTGAATAGTCGGTATTTCGACACAGCAATTATAGGACTTGAACAGCGGAACTTGTAACTGACAAAAAATTATGTCTGTATAGAATTAAAAAGAATGTATTATCACAAAAAAACGAAGCAACTTAAACAACTTACATTGAAGATGTTTAAAAGTAACAAAAAATATTAAGCTTTTTTTTTTTGTAAATTTTGATACCTTAGATCCTAATTGTTTTATTTCTTAATTACGGTTTCATATTTTTAATTTTATAAATTCTGCATGCTCTTACCAGATTTAAACTGATGATCTATAATCCGGAAAAATCGATAATTCGGAATCGCCAAAGTCCTGACGAGTCCGGATTAACGACTTTTGACTGTATTAGTGAAGACTGTGTGTCCTTCTAATGTGCCTTATGAACATGGCCAACAACTGTGACGTATTTCAGCACGGTGTAGCGATTTCAAGTAATATAGCTGAGGAAAACTAGATTGTAACAGGAATCTATTTACTATGCTGCCAACCGCCTGCCTGACTAAATGAACTGTCATTTAGACTCATGATGTACTAGCCAAGTAAATTCATCTATTATTCACGATACGGTTTTACTAATGTGTCACAGTCTGACATGATATGTTATATTTTGTTAAACTCAAGGAAAACAACCATTAAATCTTACATTTTGAACTTACAGCAAGTGTACTTACTCCTTTGGTATGGAACCACATTTTACACTACTGCACATCACTCGCAAGAACCTCTAAAATCAAAACAACAAAAGATATGTTCAACCACCACCATTCAGCTATCCAAATTCACAATATCCAGCATTAAATTAAAATTTGCCAGCAGAATCAAGATCCCAACAAAATCAACAAACAAAATCACCAAAATCAAGCTTCACCTAAAAAATGACAATATTTTAAGCTAAATGTTAGGGTAGAAACTAATAATTTTCCTGCTGTTATAAATACAGGTAGTCATATTAATGTAATTCTTCTAAATTTCATGAACATTATGGTCTTATATATATAGAAGTTTCCAGTAACTAAATAAATTATCATACACAAATGGAAGATATACTGGAAGTAAATATGAGTTATTTTATATTGTAAGTTTGCATTTAAATTATTTATTTTTGTCTTCAATTTGTTTACTTTTTAAAATATCATAAGTAATTACATACGTTTAAGTGAAAATACTGAAAATGAAATGGACCAATTTTAT